GGGACATCAAGGGGCTGGTATCGGTTGTGGAAAGAGTTTGAAAAAAAAAAATGTTTCTGCGGGTGAGCTGTGGGTGAATTTTTCAATCGATTTTTTTCAGACACTTTAGACGCCGTGATGGATGGAAATGACTTGAAAAATTGGAAAAAGTTGAGTGGGTTGGGTTTTTCCATTAGTTAGACGATTTCTGAAACTTATGATATGTTATGTGAAATAATGGCAAACACGCAGAGCATACTTAGTTTTTTACAGAGCCCTTCCCTGAAGTGTAATGGTCTTAGTTAGGAAAAACAAAAAGTTTGATACAATTTCTCTCACTTTCCATTAATTTCGGTTGTCCAAGCGTGAAACTAGCATTTGTGAAGGGGAAAAACAACGATTCATTTTAGCTGATTTTAACGAGACTAATTAATATAAAAAACAGCAGCTTTTAATTAGGCCGCATGACACACACAAAAAAGCAGCGTTCTTTGACAAGCGTAGCGTGAAGTGAATCCGGCAGCACATTCGCATTGACGCATTTCACCAGCCTGACCAAATTAAAAAGGACGGGGGAATATAATTTATCCCTCCGCGAAATTAATATTGGCAGCGATATAATAATGAAACCTACCTGTCGCTCTCACCCTCAACGCGCTTATTAATATCGAAAAGTTGTGATAAAATTTATTATTAATAAATTTTGCACGCCCTCAGTGACAAGGAAAAAGTATGGAAATTTATATCTGCAGCAGAGGAACTGAAGAAGTGCCGTGAAAAACGACACCCCTTTTGCTCAGCCCCTGCGGGAACCGGCGTGGGTGGCATTGATTCCGCCAGCAAGTGGAGCACAATGAGCAGAGAGCAAGGTGCACCACGAACAACCCGGGATGAATCACAAAGACCTGTTCTGATCCTCAATTTGTTCCTCTTTCTTTTTTCTCTGGCGTACGTTTTACTTGGAGAGCACATACTGCGGAAATACTCTTTCTTTTTCTCGATCCTCGTCAGACAATCAATCACTGACGGAGGACAACGCTGAGTTTGATAAACGTGCGGTAAAAAATTCACACATGAGCCCACTGGAGAGGTGAAATAGTAAAAAAAATCTTCAAGGTGAAGCAGAAAAAAATGTTCCAAATATTATCATTGACCGAGAAGAATAAGTAATTATAATATCATTTAAGAAATCCAGCATGCACAGATATGAAGTGGTATTACAACTAGTGTGCAAGTAATAATGTAATGCTTAATGCTCTAATAAATTTATTATTAGTTATTCTCTCATTAGTTTTATAAAAAAAAAGAAATATTAGTTGCCTAATTTAAAAATTGAACCCAAGTTGTTAAATTGAAATAAATAATGTTATTATAAATATTTAATATAAAGTATATTGAATAAAATTTTTTATAAAAAATGTAATTATTTTTATTTAATATGCTCACAGATTCTTTAATAATAAATATTTAGCTGTATTTAAATCTTAACACCAAATTTTCAATTTTTTTCATTGATAAAAAGAAAATTGGTTAAATCTCTCCAGGCGTATCTTTTCCATTCGTTTTGGAACTGTCTCTATACAGTGCTTTAAAAGCCTCGGAATAAGAGCTTTTATTTTGCGGACCTCATTGTTATTCTTTCACGCTCTATTTTTTTGGCCGATCCATCAACCAAATTAAGTTACGCACACGGTGCGGCCGTATTTACACACACACCTTGGCGCAGTGGTTTGCGGCTTGCGCGCGGAATTAAATATTTACAAAGCGTTCGTTGCGAACCCAAAACCGGGTTGTTTGTTTGTCGCCGCGTGCGAATGCCGCCGCCGCCGGCAGATCCAATTTCGCTGGTTTGTCTGCATCATTCTCTCTTATGCGTGTGTGTTTGTTGGTCGCTCTCCTAGGTACGAATCGCTGTTTATCATTATTCTCTTACACTCGGACCGACTGACCGTGATTGATCGACCAGTGATTGATGGTGTTTTCCCACTCGTTGTGCAAGGCTTAGCAATTAATTCAGAAGGACCTCCTTCCGGCGACCAGGGAATCATGTTGCTTTAGAATGGATTGGCTGGGTTTACGGAAGTGGCGCGTTGATACTCTGCGGACGGATGAAATGAAACGTGTGCCTATCCGCCTACGCTGATCACTTCGGTATCGGAGGGCATTGAATTTTTTTTCAAAACGGAATTTTACGTGAATACTGACACTGATCGAGAACCAACACACAATGATTTGAAATAGCGCTTATAATTTTTTTAATTGAAGCTTCTAATGATTTTCATTTCTGGTTCCGTCCGTTACGACAATAGTTAAAAAAACTAGATAACTTGTGCTTTTATAATTTTAATAATAAAGATAACCATTTAAAAGGGACAGCAGCTCAAACAGACAAAATTCAACACTGTTTTAAATGGTAGAGAAAAAACTTAAAAATATATCTGTAATGAAATTCTATAATAATTTTGAAAATAATTTATCAAATTTTCCAACAGATTTTATTTTCATTTCTGATTAATGCTAAATTTTATTAATACAGTGGGGCTAGTGGCTATGAACAATATTTTTACGCCATCAACTAAAAACTTTTAGGCCCAAGTCATGCTTTCATAATTTATAAAAACAACCCCACGTCGCTCAGAAAACGTGCCCAAATCTCAAAGATTTAATATTCAGACCTTCATTTCCCTGCAGCCGTATTCCACTCTTGGGACCTTATAATGCGCTTGACTGAAAAAGAAAATGCGCAAAGGCTGGAATTTTTCATGACGGCAATCAAGCGCGCAGAATCAGCTTACATAATGCCTTGCTCGACTACAAAAGAACATTATGGCGAGCACGTAGTATGTACGTCCAGCGCATCTCTGCTGAATTTAACATGAGCACGCGGCGAGATAATCTTTTCCTTCAACATTGCACGAAAGACAAGGGGCGCGTTGCTATGAAAGCTCCCTCGAGGCGGAAAAATTCAAAACATTCCCTAATACGCGCCAAAACGAGGAACAAAATAATTGCATTAAATTTAAGAGACAAATCGCTTTGACAAATTTTCCCCGTTCATTATTTCCGAAATGACAATTTGAAAAGAAAGTTTAGCGGAAGAGAGAGTCTTTTCGCAAAACTTTCAGCACTCTGTCACTTTCCTGAAATATATTTCGGGCTTTGTTTCGTAAAGACAGGTGTTGGCGAACAGTCTTGATGAGTTCAAAGGAAGGAAGTGAAATCAGGCGATTTCGCTCGAGACCTTGTTCTCCGAGTGCGACACAAAGCTCTTATGTATAGCGCGGCAGAGTTTGATGAAACTTGGGACGTTTCTCAAAAGCACACACATCACAGCCCCTCTCTCTTCTGCCTTTAATGCCTCTTGCCTCCCGCAGTTTGCTTGGTTTAACTGCATTAAAATGTAATAAGAGACGTTTGCCGGCAAGTGTGTTCGAAATAACACGGACCAATTTCACCACTGATTGAGATTAAACAGCGATAGACCACGCTCTAGATACACGGCGAATAAATCTGATTACAATGCAATCGAGTTTCGCGCTTTTTCCATTTTCAATTTAAAAAATAATTCGAACGTGCCGTCCCGCTCGTTCGACAAAGGAATAGAAATTGGCTTCTTAAAGAGTTGCCCGAATTGATGGCGTGGATAAAGAACAAGAAAGAGCTGGGCGTCGTGATGTGAAAAGACCAAAAGGCCCAAAGGCAGAAACCAGAGGAAGACGTCGAGCAGCGAATCTTCAAAGCGCCTATCCATATTTCACCGCTTCACTTTAGACAGTATAAGAATCGGTACTACAGACAAGAATCTTTCATCTTTCCATGCGTTTGTTTGTTGTTTTTTCGACCATCATGTATTTAAAATAGTTTTATTTGAAGAAGTGGGCCCTCAAGGAGACGTTTATGAGATGAAAATTCAAGCTTTTTTCCTTGTTGAATTATTCCGCAAAAAAAAAATCATACGCTTGTCTTCAAAAAAAGAGGAATACTGGAATAGAGTCCTTGTTTTCTTTCAATAGTTTAGAATAAAAAAATAATGATATTGAAAATAACCAAAAATTTGAAAATGATTTGATTGTTTAAAATTTAATTAAGTGCTCGAGTATTCATTGTTGTCTTATCGAATACACTGGCAGGTAAATTTATCAGTTTTGGTTTTCGAAACTCAAAACCAGATTCTCATTCTCAATGTTGTTTTGAGAAACTTGTTGTTGTTGTTGTTTATTAATTTATTTATTTTTTTTTTTTGAAATAATAAAAAACCGCCTAACAATTTGGTAAGGGTCCAAAATCCAATTTCATGATCAAACGCGCTACTCTCACTCTCTGATCTAAAATAAAAATTTAATGTGTTTTGCTCGTGGATCAGACAGTGACAGAAATTGTTACAGCGTTTTTGCCCTTAAATAATAAATAACTTTTCAGGTAGCACAAAGGCCACGAATTTCTTTACCCAACGTTCCCATTTTGTTTTTCATTCAAATAGTTAACATCAAAGTTTTTAAATCACAGACTTTTATTTGTGAGGAAAACACAAGTCCATACTTTGCCTGGATTATTTTGATGATCAATATTCATGCCACTATGATAAAGTATTGCATGGATATGAGTTTTCGGGCAAATGGAAGGCGTCACGCAAATATATGACCGTGTAATCTTTTTGTTGTGTGCAGCAAACATCCACAACCATCAGAACCTTTTACCGAATTCCATTTGCAGATTTCACCCAAACGCTTTTCTGCTCTCGATTTAATTCCACCGGCACGTGTTCGTCGTTTTTCCGAACAAAAAATATACCAAAATGCGGTGTGCAAAAGCCCAACGCATTGAGTTTTGTTGCTCGTATTTTTGAATTGGAAAGAGCCGCGACGAGGCGAAGGGAGGGTTGTTTGAATGAAAAAAAGGTAGTCTTTCTCTCGTGAGCAAAGCCGTTCGAAATGGGTTTGACACAAAGAGAAGCCTCAAATTTAAGTGTGAAATTGCAGCCGACACAAAAAATACAAGAGAGGATGGCATTGCGTACTCACCATGGTGACAGGACTGATTGATCCGAAGCTTCTGATGTACAACTCGCACTGCACGGTCGTCGCGTTGTCTGCGAAAAAGAGAGGCAACAGTTGAGAGAAAATTGACTGGGTATGACAGAAAATGTGTTTATTACTGAAGTATAAATAATTTCTCTCATTTGAAAACAACAAAAAATTAACACAAGAGAAATATCATGTTATTAAATTTTAAGCCAGTTTTTTTTTATTATTCTGACTTTCCTGTGAAATGCTTTTGTCATGACAGTTATGAGGAAGTGGACAATGGAAAAACAAAAAAGTCCCTTTTGATGACATTTGCAGACATCATTACTAAAATGAAAATTAGAGGGAAAATGGAAATTTTTCGCTCATTTAAAAGCTTTTATTTTATGAATATCATTAATGTTGTTGACATTCCTGGAAATAATTTTGCACCAAATAATATCTTCGTTTTAAATTTCCGCCATTTAAATGACGACTGACGAGCAACATCCCTGGCAGAGAAGCTTTTGTCATTTAATTTTCTTTAATGGTCCTTTACAAAAAAAAAAAAATCCAATATGAACTTGTGCAAAATAAAGGCTAAAGAGGATAATTTTCACCGCTTTGAAAAATAATACTAATACAAAGCAGGTGCCATGGAAACAAATTCCCGTACAGGAAATTTAAAAAAAAAACTGTTTGCAAACTGGTTGTTTATTTTGATATTTTTGAAAACCCGTGTTGTTAAAATCAGTAATTGGATAGCTTTTAGCTTTTACGGTGAAATGTTTTGTCATGTTAAAATATTCACCCCTGTTCAATTAATCAATATTATGGCCAATTTGCGATTATTTGACGACCTCGTAAGTAAATGTTGGCCATCGCTTTCAATCAACAATTAATAAAACAATGCCAGCTTGGTGGAAATTTTAATGAGAAGCGGCGCCAGCTCTCGTAAAAACAGAAACCATCGAGTCTGGGCACCAAAGGCCAACAGTTTGTTTGCTTCATGCCAGCTTCTCGCTGACACAGAGTGTTTCCATTGTATTACATTACGACCCTTTGGGACGGCGCCGTAAATTTTAATTAAATCCCCCTAACGTCTGAAATTTCCAGTATATGCAAATTGAATGAAAGTCAACAAGGCAACTTGTGATGAAATATTTAGGCGCAAAGTTCTTCTTTTGAATCATGAGCCGGCCGAATTGCAAATTCCGAAAGATATATAGCGGGGGGCGATTTGACATCACGGTCTGCCGAGCACCAAGAGGCCTTATTGTAATGTCATTATCCAAGTGTGAGAGCTCATCATCGGCGAAGACAATGTCGAAGGGAATGCTGCTGCTCTCTCGTTAATGCCTCCAGTCGATAAAGATGTTAAAGGCCCCGTCATACATGCCAACGGAAAACTAGAATCTGCCTGCACGTGCAGCGTCGTTGTATCAGCAGAGCACCTCCCCTTTGCACCCCCTCACACATGCCCCCTTTAATCTACCCGCGGATTGATTAAATAATTCGATACAACACCAGCCAAATTGCGTCTCGGCTTTAATTAATTTTTACTTACTCAGGTGATTGGTTGGCGTGGCGCGACGGTCGTAGTCCTTTTTCAGCAGGCTGTCCAAAATCTGCAGGTGGTCGATCCGGGCCGTGTTTCTAAAAGGCAAAAATGATAATTTTAGTCTCATGTTCTGGAAAAATCTAAGTAAATAGCTTAAAAAAAGTTCATTTGTAAATAAAAATAATAATGTAGAGAAAATTCATATTATTCAAATTTTTTATGTACGATAATTATCAAACTGAGGGACAAATTAATGTGGATTTTCATCAGAGTAATTATACTGAACATGTTTTGGTAGAATACAACAATAAAAAAGTGCAAATTTACTTTCATGATTTTCAGTATTTTTTTAATCGTTTTTTGTTATTCCAAGCAATATTGAATAATAAGATAATTTTTTAAAGTCTTTTCTTGTAGGAATGAAAAAATAGAGATGATCCACTTTTTTTACCTGTTGTAACTGTTTGTCAGAAAAGAAAAAAGATGTATTTATAAGTAATAAATGATATTTTGTTTTAAATGATGTTATTATTGCATTATAAAATTAGATATTTTGAATAATTTTAATTTAATTTTTGTATTTTTAACGTAACTTTTTTTAATTATTTGTTTTACATAAAATTTATAAAATCTTATTTATAAAATTACTTAAAAATAGCCCAAAAAATAAATTTTCAAGTTTGCAAAACAACCCACTTTGTTTCAAAGTAATTATAAATTCTTTCTCACCTACCACTTTGTATTAATGGTAATTGTAAAAATACTAATTTTAACGGCTGAACGCCTTTTCAACTTAAACTTCTTCTCATACTTAATTCCAAATGTTTAGTGATGTAAGAATATGAATTATATCATAAACTACTTGCATTGATTATGCTGTGCCCTGTGCCTTATTCTTATCAAGAGCATTCTAATTCAATTCCATTCTTATCAAGCTCTCCACTCAACATTTTAATTATTAAGTAATTTTAGCACAATTCTGAGCAAAAACCTCATCAAATGCTGAGGAAATTTAAATTCATGATAATTTCAAAAAAATTTAATATAATAAATCCAACCTAGAAAGCTTTCAACACAAAGCAAAAGAAGAGATTGAAAGTTTACTATTTCCTGTCTTGTTCCACACAGTCTTCAACAAATTGTCCTATTTCAAGCGTGCCGCACTAAACTTGCCAGTCCTTGACAAATAAGAGAGACCGCAGTGCCAAACCACTACTTTTATTCTGCACTTCATTTCGGGCAATTGCCTTCCGTCACCGACACTCGTAATGAAGAGCTTAAGTCGAGTGTATTATGTAATTAATTTTCAAGACTTGCAAGTACACGCACATGTACATTTATTATTTCGCTCTTGGGTAAGCAGTCTTGTGGTCGATTATTTGGAGCGAGGCCAAATTGCGATAAGCGTTTCAAGGGAAATAATGTTTCGGCTCCGTCAAAGTCACGACGCGCGAGACCAGATGAAATCCTTTGACTGTTCTTGCGCGCCCAAGCAATAAATAATTTAACTATTATTCAAACTTCCAAGGGTTTGCCGCTGGCCAGTCTTTTTTGGCAACAGCGAGAAGATCTAAAATTCTATCAACAGAGTGGAGGCAAAATTTTGCCTGCTCAGTTTATGAGACGCACATTATAATAATTGCCTATAGGGATGCGGCAGAGAATATATGAATCGCGTTTGTATAATATCTGGTTCCGGTGGCGCTGCAGAGAATTCTGCTGCGGTTGCGTAAATATTTGATACGTGCGCTTTTTTGATTAGGCAGCAGGGTATCTGCTGAAATTTTGATAATTACACCCCGCAGCCGCAATTTCCGCAACAATGGATGTACAATATTGATTCAGAAGAACTCGCATTCATTGAAGAAGAAAGTCAATATTTGAGTCTGGGCCAGAACTGGTTCACTTCAAAAGTTGCATTAAATATTCGTTTGGACGTAGAAAAGCGAGGCTCAATAAGTAGTGCTATGTATTCTCTCTCTGCTCAACTTTTTCCAGTTCAAAGACTTTGCAAAAGTTGGCTTGCAAATTTGAGTAAACTAATCTGAAGTCTCATGCTCTTGATTGGAGAACATTGTATTATTAAAGACTTGAAGAATAACGTGTTTAAATTTTTTTTAATTAATCATTTTGAACTAAAGCTTAGTTCAATTACTGCTACACTGGCAGACGAAGATTTAATATTTTTTTAATACATTTTATAAAATATCTTATTTCAGTTGCAGCGTTTATTTGCAATATATTTTAAAATCATTTGCTTTATTTGATAAATGGGCCGCCCTCCTTCACTGTGAAATTATTTATAAATTGTTTGTTTAGTTCGACTGAATTTCGTTTATAGCTCTAAAAGTCGGATTTGCGTTTGTTTTTGCTGAAGCGTTTTAGTTCGAAGCAGTCGTCGGTTCTCTGCAAAACTCCAGCTATATGCACAGGTCAAAAACACGCTCCTTGATTAAAAATTTCCAGCCAAAAGCGGATCACTGCCAACCTGACAAGTCAGAATGTGCAGAACGTGAACAAATTGCACAATCCCTTATATTCAATTTAAACCCGCTCTACTTATTCTAGTATATGCCAGACCAAAGCAAACACCAACGCTTAATTAACGTGAGCATTTCCATGTGACAAGGTAAAGTGTTGCGCTATATTTTTGCATGCTGGAATAAAACTGTGTTAATTGGGGCACCGCTAAATATGTCATTATTATTGTTATTTATTCTTCCCAGTAGATAAAATATTTTTGTATTTATTTTTTTGTAACCAGTGTTTTATAATTTTGTAAGCGAGTATAAGTCACGAATTTTTTTTTTAATAAAGAGTCTTTTATGGCAAAAACAGTTTCAAACGCACCAGATTTGACTGGAACACTAAAAGTTAATCTTCCATATTGCAATAGTCTGTTTCAAAAAATTGAAATTCTTATTTTTTCCTCTTCTCTGCCACGCGATAGCTCAGAAATAACTTTTTCTGGATGCTTTTTCTCAACGAATAAAAATATGCGCATCATGTCTTTCCCTGTGGACCATAATCTTCATTTCCACGGCACTTTTGCACATCTTTGTCTTCCCTTTGACCCAGCAAGCCTTGTAAGGCTGCATGTCTTTTTTAGGTCAACACCGCCTTTGAAAAGACAGATTAATTCACTTGCGTTGCAGAAGAAGTTTATTCTGACTGCTCTATAATGCATGCTTGAAGCTTTTAAAAATATCTGCACTTTTGTTAATGTCAATAATATTTTTTTAATAATCCTCTCCGGCTTGCTCGCAAGACCTTCAAAGTTATACCATCAGCCAAAGAAAATGAAAAACTTCTCCGAAGTAAATCGACAAGGCCGTTATCGCCTTGATTCATTTCCCAATTGCACTGCAAGAGATCATGAACGAGTTTTCAACTTAATATATATTTCTTTGACTGTTGGAGGTTGCTGAAGAGAGAAAGAGAAGAGCGCAATTCCACCTCTTGACCTGCTCTCGCTGGTTTGATATAGGGGATGGGGCCGTGGGTGAAAACTTGTTGCTGCGGATGTGAGTGTGTTGCTCTCACAGGCAGACTGACTGACTTGATTACGGCCGCGAACAAAATCCAATTAAAACCGCGAGCGCGTGAACTGAAAAGGCTGCGGTGGCGCTCTGAATGCTAAGCAGTCGGATGAATGGTGAATTTGAATTCAAAAGCTTCAAAACGCATTGCTCGCGGCTGATACATGAAATGTCACATGGAAGTGCTTACTTGTTCATTGCGACTTTTCGCGATGGAACTTTGCTATCAGAGGTATGAGTCTCGCGAGTTGAGAATTGCGACTCCAGAGTGTTGACATGAGCCCTCAGCCATGGAGTGGATGACACAAAGTCTGACTTGGTAAGGCACTGTGCTCAAGGAACTAAATCTTTCTTGGAAGAAAATGAATATTCACGTGGCAAGTTAGCTTAAATAGGCTTAAATAGGTTTAAAAATGGAAATACATCTGAAATTATTTGCTCAAATCAGTGGTAATATGTGTGGATTGAGTTCCAAGTACTTCTTGAATTGGCAATAAATTACAGAATTCAATTTCAAAATTAAAATAAATTTAATCTAGAATCTAGTCATTATCAAGATTTATCAAGTTTTTGTAATGTCAAAAAATTGAATTTGCAGTTATAAAAACTGTTAAAATAATTAAGAGCAGCATTGAGCAGCAAGTTAAATTCAGCAATCAAAAAATGAGGAAATCTGCGCTTGATTTTTCAAAATGCATAATGAAAGGCTACAATACAATTTTATTAAACCATGGAAGGCTTAATTTATGTACATTATTTATAATGATTATTTATCATTATGAGCTTCTTTTATTTTTGAGTTTAGTTTATATTTTTCCTTTATTTTATTTTAATTAAAAAAGGAATATATATATTATATTTTTGCACAAGCAACAGGAAAGTCAATGTTTTTACTTGCAATAAAATGCTGATTAGATTAATTGAAACAAATTTAAATTAGCTCGTTGTAAGATGGCACAAGTATTTCCAGATAATATGTGAAAAAAAAAATGAATCTTACAAAGAAAATAAAACTCTGCCTATTTTAGTTAGTTTTGGTTCAAACAAGACAATAACTTAAGTTTATAAAGCAAAACACTTGACCGCAGGTCGCCTTTTGGGGTTAGTTGTTCTTTAATTAAATTATTATTTTTTTGCAACAAGATTTGCCTGGTTTTAATTTTTCATGAAATCTACCATTCAATTTAAATAATTTAATATGTATTTGGATGAATCCATATCAAATTAATAAATTTTCCTTTAACATGTCTCATGGTGTTTATATTTTTCTAAACTTATGTTAGCCTTTGAGTATTATATTCCTTCAGAATGCATTTAAAACGAAGTCTTCAAAGAAGAACGCATCAGTACCTCATCTCTGGCTTATTCCGTCCCTCGGCTATATTTTGCAAATTCAACTGCCATAAGACCTTATGGACACTTTACTGAAAGTTAGCTGTAAGATTTTGAAAGCATTCATCTGGGCGAAAAAAAGTCTGCTGCTGCTGCTTTTATGAGCGCGGAAAAAGAAAAATAAGGAGCAAGCGTTTTCGTCCAAGCGCAGACTTATACACTTTTCTTACGCGCCAGGCCAACAACTCTTTCTCTCTGTCGTTTGCGAGCTTCAAATGGAAAATATGCAAAAGCCGACGGACGACTTTTTAAGTTCATTTGCATATGGAGTCAAGCAGTGGATTTGAAAATGGACGAGCAAGAAGCTTTGCAAAATTTATGACATTCTTACAACTTGTTATGCATTTTCTTGCGTTGAAAGTTTTTGTTATTATAAATTATAATACAATAAACCTTTAAAAGAAATAAGTGCAACAGAAAGACTGTGTTTAATTCAAGTCACGTTTAAGGTTTACTACTGGGGAAATTTTATGCGGCTGATTTTTTTTTTGTAAATTGCGCAAAATTTAAATTCAATTTAATTTAGAATAAATACATCCATGCATGCCAAAACTGGTCACATAAAATAAATCAAAATTCTCAGCCAAATATAATTTGCAAAAGGTTTCCGTGAAATCACTCACCCTTGAGTTGCAATAAGGAAAAGGCCGGCGAGTGACAGAAGCCAAAGGGAGTGAGTTGCGTTTGTAGTCGAGGCTCTCGGAATCATCGCTACTGCTGCCGGACCTAAAAACAATAAAAGATTTACGTCATAAGAAGGCAGGACGCTGTAAATTCATCACATGATCGATGGACAAGAGAAAGAAAGTATAAAGACCACATAGACGTCCGTCCACTGAGAATCAATCAAAGCGAATTCTTTGCTTTCGGGATGATATTTTCCAATTTCATAAATATTTACTAAAAATAATAATCTCCGTTCAAAAACCAGCAAAAATCACTTTCGTTTAGAAAAAGAGCGAATCTTAGAAAGTTGCAAACTCTTCGATAACTTGTAAAAATTAAATGTCAACATCATTAAAAGCGATGGTACGGAGAAAGCTTGTGCCAAAGAAAAGATAATTACCGGTGGCTGCCTCGCTCGCTCCTGCGATGATGAAAATACGTGTTGCTCTCTGTAATGGTGCAGCTGCTGTGGGCGGTTTCGAGGGCTGCAAACCACTGACTGCCTCTCTCTCGCAGAAGAGAGAGCGAGAAAGAGAGAGAGGACGGCGGCCGCCCCCAACCAACCCGACCTTCCGCGCAACGGTGCTTCCATCTGACTGGAACTGGAGGCGCCGACAGGCGCCGGGCGGTTTATGCACAATCGCGGTCTCTAATCGACGTAATTAATTCCTAATTGTGATGCCATCTTACTCTGAAACTTTTGTCTTTTAATATGTTTCGCAGAAGTCGAGTTTTTGCCAAAATTGATGCTTATAAAATAATTGCATGGAATTCTGAGGTTCCATTTTAATTGGAAGTTATTAATATTCATCTTGTCTTAACTCTTGACTAATAATAAGCTGTAATGACAAAAAATATAAAATATTATATTAGATATTAATATTAGTATAATTATGTTGTGCTTTAAGTTTTATTGTTGTAAGTATAAAAATTAACGGTAAAAGTGATTGAAAATTGGGCGTTTAACAGTGTTTGAATTCTTTTAAATTTTAATCAATAAGTTGGGTTTAAGCAGGTTTAATAAGGGTATTAGAAAATATTTAATTTAAATGAGAAAAAAATAAGTGCCATAAAATTTTTATTAATTTTTTTAGTTTACAATAAATTTTCACCAATTTTCTGTAAATCCGCTGAAAATGAAAATCTTAAAAAGTTATACATTTTTTCATTCCCAGTTCTTTTTCAGTAATTTCTGTATTAAAATTTACATTTGTCAAAGAAATGTAATAAAATGCATGAAATATTTTCATCCGGTCCCAAGTTTTGAGAATCTCAACAATCAGAGCAAAATTTTTGATTGTTGCCGAGATAGCTAATTGAGTCCTATGTTATTCTTAAGAGAGTCCATATTATATTTTTGATTGTTGTAATTCCCAACCTGGTCTGACCTTATGTTTATAACCAGTTATTTTGCGCCCTTTGATGTAACTGGGTGCTGGCCTCATGCTAAGATCGGTTCTCATTCAGACCATGTCGCTCTTGCCCAGGCACATAGGCTGACCAGAGACCATCAAAGCAGCGGGTTCAAATCCCCGTAGGGCCGGCCTTTTTAAAACAATTTTTTAGGACCATTGCAATTCTAATTCATGTTTCTTATTAAAAAATCTTCCATGTATCAATGAAAAAAAATTCAAAATGAGTAAAATTAGAGAATGTAATTATTTAAAGTAAAAAATTTTAGAGCACGCTTTTGGAGGACTCGATCTTCAATGGAACGTCTCTTCAGGCACGTTATTGTTTCTAAATTAGATTAATTGTTTAAAAATTTCATCATATTTTGTACACATGACTGCAGAAATTTTAATTTGGAAGAAATAAAATTGTTGGGAGGGAAAAATTATTTTTTGACAAATTGATGCAAAAGTGGGATTCGCAGAAGTATTCAATTGAAACATAACCTTCCATTCTTCCTAACACGTCTTTCTCGGCTCAGGGGCCACCAAATTGCAAAAAACCGGGCATTTTCGGCATCCTTGTGAAACGAGCTTTCCGTCGGTGTGCGTTCGTCGCCCCCAACGGTCGCGGTCATCTCAAAGTTTGGAAATATGCTCAAGATTTTTTTTTTTTCAAAATATGACCGTTTTGAATCGCGAATTTCTCCCAGAATTCAAAATTGACACGCAAGGATATAAACACCTTCGTAAAGCTTGTTTCTTCTAAATTTAGAATCCTGAAGCTCGGACTATTCCTTTGAGTTTGCCCGGTACCTTTTTGGCTCAGATGCACCCACCCTCCCTCCGGCCCTTATCGCGTCAATTTTCATTGTTTGTTGCGATTTTTTTCGAATGTGGATTTAAATTATTATTAAAATTGTGTTCATCATATTTTAAATTTTGTTAAATTAACTCAGTTGTTTTACGTTTTCTTATTTAAATTAAAATAAAAAAGGTATGGAGATTTGTTGGTACAAATTAAAAAAAAAAAAACGTTTTGAAAAATTAATATTTTTAAATCTCTCATTGCATCAGTGATTCCTGGGAAAAATGAAATAATTATCTTTAAATGAAATGCTAGGAATTATTAATTGGAAAGTTGGATACAAGCCAGCGTTTTATTCAGCGCGCTTATGAATAAATCGAATAAATCTCAATTTGTACTGGCACGTTTTCACTTCCGGTCTTACGTCATGCATGGGCAAAGGTCATATGGGCCGATATGGGCAAAAGGTTATGTGGGCAAAGATCAAAAGGTCATATTGGAAAAAGGTCACAAGGGCAAAGGTCATGAGCAAAACAAATAAATGGCGGCAATGTTTGAAGACCGCGCATGCGCAATTAAAAAATATAACTCAATTTTTAGAAAAAAAATGATGAAAAATAATTTAAAGTACTATTGATTTTTTAATAATACCAGGCAAAATTTTAAAAAAAGTATCGATTTTGTTAATGGTGCCAGGAAAATTTCGAAGTATTGATCTGGTATACATGGATTACTTGATTTTTTTTAATAATTAGAAATATTAGGGGAAAACAATAAAAATCGAAGCATTTATTAAATTAATTTAATAAAATCCATAAAATGCATTACATATTTTCACCTGGTCCCAAGTTTTGAGAATCTCAACAATCAGAGCGAAATTTTTGATTGTTGCCGAGATAGCTAATTGAGTACTATGTTATTCTTAAGAGAGTCCATATTATATTTTTGATTGTTGTGATGCGCACCTGGTCTGACCTTCTGTTTATAACCAGTTATTTTGCGCCCTTTGTTGTAACTGGGTGCTGGCCTCATGCTAAGATCGGTTCTCATTCAGACCATGTCGCTCTTGCCCAGGCACATAGGCTGACCAGAGACCATCAAAGCAGCGGGTTCAAATCCCCGTAGGGCCGGCCTTTTTAAAACAATTTTTTAGGACCATTGCAATTCTAATTCATGTTTCTTATTAAAAAATCTTCCATGTATCAATGGAAAAAAAATTCAAAATGAGTAAAATAAGAGAATGTAATTATTTAAAGTAAAAAATTTTAGAGCACGCTTTTGGAGGCCTCGATCTTCAATGGAACGTCTCTTCAGGCACGTTATTGTTTCTAAATTAGATTAATTGTTTAAAAATTTCATCATATTTTGTACACATGACTGCAGAAATTTTAATTTGGAAAAAATAAAATTGTTTTGAATCGCGAATTTCTCCCAGAATTCAAAATTGACACGCAAGTATATAAACACCTTCGTAAAACTTGTTTCTTCTAGATTTAGAATCCTAGGCCTGAAGCTCGGACCCTTCCTTTGAGTTTGCCCGGTACCTTTTTGGCTAAGATGCACCCATCCTCCGGCCCTTATCGCGTCAATTTTGATTGTCGGTTGCGATTGTTTTCTACCGTAACCATGTATCACGCAAAATAAAATTTTCAAAATTTTATTCATTATATTTTTATGGCCTGACGTGATGCATTATTGAAATGTTGAAATAATTTATTTACTAAAATAATTAACAATTGTCAATCAATTTTCCAACTTGGAGTGCAACACTCATCTAAAATTCAAAATTATGGACTGAGATATAGTAGGTTTTTTAGAAATCTCCTACCTTTCCTCATTTTTAAATTCATGGCATTTTACAGATGCAGCGGCGTTCGTTCGCCCTACCCGCAGTGATTCGCCACGGAGGAGCTTCGGGGCGCCACTTTGTACTCGGCGAGATCTTGTTGGCGGCCACGGCGTGCAGCAGTATTTTCGATGTGGCCGGTCTGCCTATCAGTCAGCCCGCAATAAAGCTCGCAAGACAGTGAGGTGTTAATTGAGGGCCGACCAACAACCGACACCATGGTGGACGTCGAGGAAGACGGCTTCGAGAGCGAAATTCGCCGCAAGGTGACCAGGAAAACCTTCACCATCGAGGAGGTACGTCTTGGGAAAACCGAGTTTTTTGAGAGGGCACTCTTCGAGAGCTCTTTTGATCGTGTATATGCTTGCGCTGGAATGTTTCGGGTGCTCGTCAACGTCTAATTTTAAATCGAGTGCTAACGGGCTTACATGCAGCTTAATTCCGAACGAAAAATGATTAAAATAAAATGGCATTTTTTAAAAATCAAGAATTGGAATTTAAAATAATTTTGAAAACCAATCATAAAGTTTTTATGGATTGGTTAATTTAAAAATAATATTCATAATACATTAAAAGTCAAGAAAAACTAAAAATTGTCAGTTGGAGAAAATTTTAAATCAATATTTCACTAAAAAATATACATTTCAATTTTCTATACAAATATTTTACAGGTTACAGAGTTAAAATAAAATACATATTTCTAGTTTAATTTCATGTTTTAGAATTTTAGTTTTTCAATTTTAATCCGCGATTCAAAACTATACTCTGGCGCCGGATCAAAATATTCAGACCATTCTGCTTTAGCTGATGCTGCCAAAATCTAAACATACCTTTTTGTTCTTGAACCGTGCGATTCTGAATCCACACAACAAAGTAAAGGAAAAATACTAGAGAAAATAATAATACTGAACTTAAAACTCATTATCACGCTCATCTTTTGTGATTTTACTTTGAATATTTTTCCTCTCATAACTACAACTCTTCATTTCTTAATTGAAATTTAAAAAAAAAATCGATGAAAACTATGATTTAATCATATTTTTTAAACCTCAGGACTAATATAGTCCACTGCATGAACTTCGGAGTGCAAGAAAAAGGTCCAAAACCAAGTTTTGAATTGCAAGAAAAGCAAGCGTGCGTATTTTCATTTCCTGGAGCTCAACCGCTGGCATCAGATGAAACGCGACGCGTAAATCATGTCACGAAAATTACAGCTGCGGCGTGTGTGACATTCGTAAAAAGCTTTGGCCCGCCTTTTTTAATCACTCGAAAGCATTTCACCGAGACCTGGCGAGTGCGCGAAAATTAACTCCGGCGGCTGCTCGTCGGCGTGACACGTCGCACGGTGTTGTTATTGTTTTCAAACAATTAGATGATTTGCCTCGCGGAGGAGTGCAGGGGTGCCTTTTTTGTCAGTCCGATTGTTCTTTCTCCGTCGGCCGTCGGCGTCGTCAGCGCCCCGTCGCCAAAAATAGACGCCCAACGCCGCATTTAAATGCCCGACCTTCCAGACTCTCTAAAACGTAATCTTGAGTGCCATCTGAAAAACGTCTCTCCAAACTTTATCTCAAACATCTTAATGTCCTCGTTGAACTTGAATTAGGGTGTAACAAAACGGATTTAACGGCTGTTTGTATTGGCCGACGGTGTGCAAACTAATTTTCAAAACCGATGTGCACTTGCTTGCCGGTATTCCGTACAGATGCCAAATTTCGTCCTGCTGATGGAAATTCATATTTTGCAATGTGTGCGAGTGTTTCGGAAACTAATTGCTTTTTGAATGTTGTGCAAAACTGCTTTCAATTTATTTTTTTGCATAAGTATTTTACACAAGTAGTTATTATCCAAAATATGAGGAGTAAAAATTGTTTTAAGCTGTTTTAAGCAATGATAAATGAATAACATAAAATGTAATCAGTAATATTTTTTTAACTTCGAAGCTTCAATACAGCAATATTCAATGAAAATGAGCAAATATTATGAGGATACTTGAATTATCTATAGATTATTTCAAAATGCAACAATTAACAATTCCATTCTAAAGAGTTCATTTGTTTTAATGCGATTTGATTTGACTACAAAGATTCATTAATTTGTTATTCATTTTAATTATTATTAAAAACAATTTCTTGGAATTAAATGTACATAACATCATCCTTGGTACACCAATGGCATAATCCGAGCATAACATAAAAAATAGAAGTTTTAGCTATTTTTCTTCTTCTAATAGGTGTATCTTTTTGCCATCAATTCAAAGGTTGATTTTCGTTCAAAATTATTATTATTATTTTTCTTAAATTCATAACATGAATAAAAATCCTCACTTATGAATTTTATGTATCAATTTTTATTATTATTTATTGCTGCAATATCCGCCAAGCTATGCCATTATACATTTTATGATAAATTTAAAATATTTTTGCCTAAAAAATGTCTTATTGACAAAAGACATTAGCATTTGCCCCAATTTAAAATTTTCAAACAGTTAGTGCAATAAATTATTTTCTGGTGCATCGGAGAAAAGTCATTTGTAACTCTGGTTGCAACGGGTGCATCAGCTCACTTCTTCCTCCTCTCGCGTTTGTGAAAACAATTTCGCAAGAATTGAGTCTGTTTCTGTCAATTAAAACATTCCAACTCGCGGCAGAGTGCTCGCTCTGCATATTGATGTCGAAACGCGCGGAGGAAACGCGATAATGGCGCTGCGCCGTTAGCCAGCAACAGACAAACACACCCGCGGCGGGGAGTCATCTGCGTCAATTATATGCGGATGAGTGGGTGTCCGATGCTCATTTGGTTGCATAATGACGTCAAAATGTGGTCGGACACGGCGAGGGCCAAGGTGCTGCTGCGAGAGAGCTTCCCGAAGCGAACGCCGCCGCTCACCGAGAACGCAGCACCAGCGGCTAAATTTATCTATCCCCTGCTGGCAGCGCAGACGAACCGAAAGAAAAAAAACGAAATAAAGCGGCACTCGGCCGAAAACGACGTGCCGGACAAATCGGTAGGAAATGTGACCGAGCCGAAGTTCTCCAAGAAGATCTTGACGTTGACATTTTATGCGCTTCATAATCAAATCAGGAATTTTAACTCTTTTATTCGATCCGAGGCAAAACGGGAGTCTTAGTGATAAAAATAAACCGTGGGGGTGGAAGGGAAATGTAAAAATAAGTTTTATCACTTTAATCTCCATTAGGCGAACCGACGCTAAAAATATACAGTTTTGAAAATTTTCTCTCCATCTCTTTTGGCGAACTCTTTCCCGACGCGCAAAATTTGCGTTTCCGTTTTGCGACGAATTTAGGCTGTTGCGTTTTTAAAAGTTTCCTGTTTCCTGTTCTGCAGAATTCTATTTTATATAGAAGGGTATAGGAAAAAGTTGATTTAATTAGGAGCAAGAAAATATCGTTTTCTTAAAGTGATGTAGTGGAAAATGTTATAAATTTAATTTAAGTTCTTTTAAAAGAATTCTATGACGCTGTTAGCTGTACTCAATTCTAATGATCATTATAATGTGAATTTATATTTGTAAGAAATTTTGCCGACATTTTTTTTAAATTTAAGATTAATGAATTACAGTCTTGTGTAAATTTAGTAAGTCTTCTGATAAAGGGGGGATTTGATTTTTCCCTTATTATTATAATCTGGTGACGAAAAATTTCGGCTTCATTTTAAATTGCAATTTGCATTATATTATTTTATTTACAATATTTTAAGCAGATTGTGCAATTTTTCGCAAAATTTATTAGGTCGTTTTTAGTAGTGCTCTTTCCACCTGAAAATAAAAATTTCTTTCCTTAATTCGGCTCCATCTCTTGTCGCAGTCAAATTGAATAAGATGTGAGCTTCCTGTTTGCTCTTTTGCCTATTTTACAAACACACTCAATGTACAATTTGATTTGGAAAGAGATGCAAACGGTGATATACGCAGACAACCCACTTTCGTTCCGAGTGACAAACCGACCGAACGGCAACAACTCCAGAGTGAGTGTGTGTACGCCGAAAATAAAACAGAGAGAGACAGACTATGCAATGGGGAAAGACCTAGGCGAAAGGGAAACCGATGCTGCTGCAAGAGATACACTTCCAGACGCCGCCGTGCACTATTTATGTTGAACAGAAAGGACGTAAGTCTGGTGCCGTTGGTGCAACTAATTACTTACGTTGGCAAAAGGTGATAAATCTGTAAAGCGGTGGCCTTTTGGCGAAACGCAATACTCTTGACGACGAGCAAAAGTCGGTGGCGTTGCAAAAGAGCTAAAGCATTCACCCAATTTCTCTTCTAGATTTTAGAGGAACAAAAGACGAGAGCACAAGAGATCAAACGAATTGGTAATGGATGATAACAGTCCCGTCAAACTTAAGTTTGGCAAGCAACAAGAGCAGCAAAGTGCCTAAACGAGAATTTCAATTAATTAAATAGTTTTTATTTCATATGAGGAATCGCGAGGAAATAAAAAAGTGGTTAAATCCTCTGGAAATTTCTGATGGGAGCCAAATTTTGTAGGATATTTTTTACAATTTAAATTTTTTGTTCCTTTTTTTTATAAATGATTTATGCTGAAAAGAAGGAAACATTTCGTCAAAATAAATTTTATTTCTCTATAACGATCATCGATCATTTACAAATATTAAAAAAAACGGACTCAACCTTGATGAAAAAATTTGAAAAAAAAAAAATCAATGAAGGACAATCCATCGAAGATTGACGCAATCTCAAATATTTTGATCAGCGGCACGTGTGATCTGGAATCTGATTTTTTTTTACTAATTCACCTTCAAAGTAATATTGTAAACGCTTTATGTAAAAAAAATTAAATATACTCATATTTCAAGTGTGCGTACAATCGACCAGACCTTAATGATCCTTAAACAATTTCTAAACAATTCATTTAATAAAATAAATGAACTGTACAAAAAAATGTACTCCGGAGTGCCAAATTGAATCAATTTTGATATATATTATAAGCCAAAGATCTTACCTTATTATAAAATAAATGGTATTTTTTTTTTCAATAAAAATCTATTGAATGAAATAATGACCACAATTATAACCAAATGTTTCAAAAGGAACCAACAAAACAACTATTTGCTATTCCCCAGCGCGTGTTTCACAACAGGTATTATATCCGTAACACCCTATTTCAAGTGGCAAGCGACGAAAAACGTGGTGTCAGACAAAGTCTGAAAAGACGACAAGGGTGAGCTGAGAAACGACCCAAAGGGGAACGCAGAATCGAAATAAATATGTCGAGAATGCCTTGGGGAAAGTGAATGGAATCGCATTGGCAGCCTT